GGTCGTGGACCCTGCTACTGTCGTGGACCCTGATGCTGTCGTGGACCCTGATGCTGTCGTGGACCCTGATGCTGTCGTGGACCCTGCTGCTGTCCTGCACCCTGCTGTGGTCTTGGACCCTGCTACTGTCGTGGACCCTGATGCTGTCGTGGACCCTGCTGCTGTCGTAGACCCTGCTCCTGTTATGGACCCTCCTCCTGACGTGGACCCTGCTGCTATCGTGGACCCTGCTGCTGTCGTGGACCCTGTTGCTGTCGTGGACCCTGCTGCTGACGTAGAACCTGCTCCTGTCGTGGAACCTGTTGCTCTCATGGACCCTCCTCCTGACGTGGCCCCTGCCCCTGACCCAGTCAACCCAGCCAGTTACCCTTAGGACGCTGCCCCTGCCACGACAGAAGCACAACAACCATTGCCTGTACAACCTCCTCGAATCCAAAACCCTCCTTCTCCCCCTGATTCTCCCACAGGTTCTGTGTCACTAGACGGAGTCATCACCCTCAGCGGCCGAGTCGTACGTACACCTGCCCGGTATGTATTGTAGTGGATTCCTCTCCTACAAGCACCGAACCTTCTTGAATTCCCCAGCCTACGCCTCCAGCGCCGCCCACAGAGCGGGGATCAACTATCTACCCACGCCTACCCCCGCCTTATAAGGCCTGACACCGCTGTGACCAGCCTCTTTCTACACAGTGCCACCAGCAAGTAACACCTCCTCCTCCGTGCCAGCCTGGCGGCTCCCGCTCCCGCCGGCGACCTAGGCGTCCCTCAAGCCGTGTGCCCTCACTCTGGGCACCCTCACCACCCAGCTCTCTCTACTCAACGCTTATTACCATGCTACCTACCCAGCAACAAGCTGCATTGTGCATCCAATACAATATGTATACAGTAAGCACATTGTGAGTTTCCTTTCTCCATCCCATCCTGAGTGTGAACCAATATCACATACCCCTACAGTATCACTTGTGGGACGCAACCCTGCCAACAACCAGTCTCCCGCCGCGCCCGGAGGGGAGGGGGAGTATTGTTGTGCATCCTCTCCCCTACAACTACCAACTGAGCTCCTGCCGCTCGCTTACCAGCCAATCAGCGTACAGCCAGCTACGCCAAGAGACTAGGTCTATGGTGCGGACGTAGGGGTATGATCGCCGACCTAGTCTTGACCTTCCACCTTAAGCTCAGGATCAGAGAGTTTCACACTTTTCGCGTTCTCCCCAGTGATTGGCTCTTGCGCTACGCGCGCCTCGATTCCTAATGCTCCTCGCCCAACAGGACCTCTGAGCAAACTACTCATCACCTTGCAACTCCTTAGCACTGCATTGTACAACAATATATATACAGAAAACGCATTGTGAGTTTCTATTCTACCTCAATCCTGAGTGTGAGATATCTTACATGTACGTACGTATGTGAGCCCATACAAAGAGACAATAGACAACCAAAGAGAATTGACAACTGGCCACATACTGTACACTACAGACGCTCGCCCCACAAGGGGTCACAGCTCAAGATTGAAGAAGCCGCAAGTCCAGAAAACTGTGAGGGCAAACTTTTTTGGAGTGAGGGTTGTAAACTCTTGGAACAATCTGCCAGAGAGTGTTGTGACGGCACCGAGTGTGAGCTCTTTCAAGACCAGACTTGACCAACACTGGAGCGGGTTCAGGTACATTCAGGAGCCGGTGCATGCCCCGTATTTGCCAACAGTGCGTGACAGAGACGTGACCGATCGCCCGGGCGGCTAGCGAGCCGATCTTTTGGTGAAGAGGATAAATGAAAAGGAAAAGTATTCAGAGACGTGACCGATCGCCCAAGAGGCTAACGAGCCGATCAGTAGCGAAGAGGATAAAAGTAAAAGTGGTGAAGAGAATAAATGTAAAAGTAAAAATTAAGGGTTCGAGCGTCGGCCCAGACAAACGTGAGAAACGTGAATAAAAAATAAAAAAATGCCCCGAACAGTTAGTAAGCTGATGAGTGGTGAAAATTATATAAATAATAATAATAATAATAATAATAATAATAATAATATAACACTGAATTCAAAATATGTTCACGTGGGCCAACTGTTTACATAAATATCCCTATCTTATGAGTATTATGACCGATCATAATGGCCTTTCCTCGTGTTCCCTCTTTTTTTATTCCGGAAATTTATTGTATTTACGGCAATATTCTGGACGCAAGTTAAAGTTTTATTACCTATAAGTTGTTTTAATAGGCCATGAAAAGTAAAACTTTATTAACAAGATTGTGGAGGGACCCAGTGACCTACTGAGTCAAGTATGTTGTTTTTCACTACTTTCTTAAACTTCTTAATTTATCTTTATAATAATTAGTTTACTCAGTATAAGAAAAATATAGTGTCATTTGTGTGGTTTCATTTACATATTAACAACAATAATGTTAATAATATGAGCCTCGTTCATCTAACTGGTTTATACCAAACATCTGCGTATTACAACTTTTAGTTAAAGTTGTATCTACATATTCTGGCTTTTATATAGCAATGCCTTATAATTATGTGAGTTAAGCGAATAATATATAATAGTATTAAGTCAGACGCCAGACCCAATATTCTTGGAACAATATGCTGTCGTTAATGATACTAATAGTTTGGGTGAAATCCGACGGCTGGCAACAAGGGGTCCAGGCTTGACACCTAAGAACGCTGCTACACTATTGTGCTCACATAAAATAAGCCTTTAGTCACGTACGTCATAGTTTTATTTTGTATTTTATTTTATCCTGCATTTGATACAATATTTATATGACTAGGAGATATCAACTTATCCTTAGAGGTGTCAGAAGTAATGCTATTGTTATGGTGAGGCAGCGAGACCCTGAAGCCTTCAAGGATTTTGTTTGTTTGTTTGTTTGTTTGTTGAAGATTGCTGGCAGAGTAAACGTATTTTAACAAATATTACATTTTGTAGTTGATTAATTTACGTATCAGTGCTCTAACTTGCTGGGACACGGTACTTCAGTTCATGACAATGCCGTCTTTTATATAATTAATAAAATCAAAATCAGACTGGTTGAGGCTGTTTGACTGAACTTTTGGCTTTTTGAGGAGGTGGTCAGCAGACCTATTTATGGTGACTTACTCCACCACACCAAATGAGTTTGTCTGTAGTTGGTACTGTACAACTGTAAACTTGGAGACCAAAGCCAAGTGGTTCATTCATGATAAAATTATTATTTTTTTGTTCGTAGTGGATATTTTGCCGTGACGGCTAAGTTCCTACTAACGCTATTTTACCGTTTAGTGCGCTCTGATTGGCTAAGTACTTTCTGTTTGACGAGGGTAAGGGTCCGCCCCCTGGCTTGGGGGTTAGGTAAGGTTAGGTAAGTTTCTTTGGTTGGTAAGGTCAGGTTCTATTAGGTTCTAGTAAATTTTGCCTCTTTTATAATGATTAGAACATTAATGAACAAAATCGAATCAGTATGTTAGTTTAGACACTTTTCTTCTATAGCATTTCTCTCTCACATTTCACACCACCATGGGTCTCATTTTGCACGTGCCAGCAGCACTGGCTCACAGCAGCCCTGACACTTGCTGCTTGTTGGCCTTGAGTCCAGGGGTGTTGCTTTCCTGCTGGGATGTCAAGGTATTGTTGGGCAGGTAGAGGCCTGTCTCATCCTCTATGTACATCTTGTACCAGTGCTCTCGCCAGCCACACGCCTCTTGGAAATTCTGTGGCACTCTTAAAATTTATAGAGACACCCACAGCTCCCACGGAAGTCAGGCACCTCCAGCGTTTAGCAAAGTACTGGTTCATTGCTGCTTGTACCAGCTGTACACAGGGATATACCCCATTTCGTCACCAACCCGGTTCGTCACCAGTATCAGATCCATTTCGTCACCACTAACAGACTGTGAGTCACTGGTATTAGAGTGATAAATTGTAAGTTATTATTTTACACAAATGGAAATACACATGTATACAGACGACTCGAGAATTATTGTGTTAGTATTATACGTGAATATAATTATTTAATAAAGAAAACGATTTAAACAATAGTAAATAAACAAAATACAGAACAAATGGTTAAATATGCCTATTACAGCAACCACGGAATTTGAAGAAAAAACTGGTTTTCTGATGGATTTTGATGTGATTAGTTCAAATCTGACCCTCGTTTGTGATTTAGTCCCCCCATAACAATACTGGGGAACAGCATGGGAATTCGTTTTTTTTTAGGGGAGGGAGAAAGCAAAAGAACGAGTGATTTATGGATTATACAATACAACCAAACTAAACCTTGCTTAGCCACCTAACCGGAGACTCTGCCCCCGGACCCCCGGTGGCCCTAGCTGGGGGCAAGGCCATATGTTAGATAACAACCAAGAGTCTCGTGGTCAGCCTCCACAATAATATCAGTAGTCGTTACAGTATTTCTTACTTTACTCTGAGTCAGGGTCAGGTGCTCTGATTTTATTCGGTAAAGGTGTAAAATTGTCGGAATTGGTTTAAATTTTTTCTACACACTAATATGATATTAACCACAAAAATGGAAACGCCAATGCATAGAACCTAATATAACCTGACCTAACATACCCTTAGGTTGACAGGTTCTATTAGGTTTCTTTGCATTATCGTGTTAATTTATGTATTTAACAACTTATCTTAATATTGAGGTTGATATACATCAGCAATGGCGAGGAGGAATTTGTGGAAGTATTCACCATCATTTATAGGAAAAGTCTCTTGAAGAGGGATTCAGCGAGGTAAACAACAAAAAATGGCACCGGGAGGAGAATTGTGAAGCGGGATAGAGTAAATAAAAAATAAAATTAAAAAACACTTAGGCCCCGGGTGACGTTCTAGAACGTCCGCTTATTTTCCCGCTTTTTTATTTTTTATTATTTTTGGAAAAGTTGATTGTTTTTTTATTTAACCCCGTGGGGGGTACTGCCAGCAGCACCCTAACCCGGGGCTTAAGGGTAAAATCATTATAGAAAGTTGTCGTTTCTTTTAATATACTGTACTTCAAATCATCAAAACAATAAGTACAGTAAATATAAAGAAAATTAACAAACAACTTCTGGTGGCAGCCGTTATCTACATTCTACACCTTTACCATTTATTCTTTTTAAAATTCAATAACTTCTTCATTATAAATTTGCGATGGACGTGTATATAAAAAATTGATAATAGAAAAAAATAGTTCTATCGATTGAGTGAAGTGAATTTCTGGAATTCTTGGGTTGCTGTAATTGGCACAATGATCAACAAATGAAGGTGATTTCTTCTTCTTCACCACATTGGTTGATTTGCAATTACAACTAGTTGCTGAGCACAAGCTAAAATCATGCACAAGAAAAGCAAATCATGGCAAACAGGTCCATCTGTGGAAGCTGTGGGATGAATATGAAGAAAAAAATATCACCGCTTCTAATTTCCTAAAAAAATGTCAGTGTCGTCTTCCAAGCTTGCGTGAGTAATAACAATGTTTTTCTTTTTAATTTATTTTTAGTCTTTCACATACAGCATTGTTTAAGTGAGATGATTACATTTTTAATAATGTTTTTAGTTTTTAGTGTCTTTAATATATTGTCTTAGTGAGATGCTTGCATGATCCAATGTATTGTTATTCCGAGGCATAATTTCATAATACAATTTTGTTAACTAGGTGTTTTGATTATTTTCTATCCCAAGCAACAGTTATTTTGGCAAATTTGGTGGAATTTTTGTGTCCCTTTATATTGGTGTATTAATTATGTAAGAATTTTATGGAATGTTTTGCCCTTGAAATGGTGATGAGAATGAACGCGGTAACGAAACGGGTAAAAACAGTGGTGATGAAATGGGTAAAAACAGTGGTGATGACATGGGCAGACCCCGTACACAGCAGTATCCACTTTCTCGTATTTCACTGGACCCTTACGAGTGTGGGTGAGGCTTATTATTTACCTGCGCCTGACAAAGCTTTTTGTTCCTGTTGCCTCAGCTTCCCCTTGGCAAACTTCACATCATAGATGGTGGACATACCCACTCCATACTCCTCAATCAATGCTTTCTCTGTCATTTTCTTCTCGTGTTTGGTCAGAATGTCCATTTTTTTTAATGGACAGTCTTTTTCACTGGGCCTCTCTTGGAACCCCCTTGGTGCCACGGGTTTTCTCTGTAGCTTTCGGCATTGTAGTACACGTGTACACAGTACAATGTGTACACAAATTACACCATATACGATGCTACAGTACTCAAACACTGTCCACTGCTATGCGCTTTAGCTTATGTACTGTATTCACACAATCCTAATTTACACTGTAATCACTGTTCACATCTTAACACTGTACAGTACTTACAGCAGTGGCATATTCTTAATGAATGCAAGGCATGCCTAGTAGAAAGCAAAATATAGTTTTAAATAGTATCTTCAATAATACAAATTTAATTTCAGAGTCATCACAGTTTTCACTCAGGAAAGTCGAGGAGACTCAGCATCCCTCAATGCATGCAGAAGGATAAGCCACATGCCGTCAGTGGACATATAGACATAACCATCCTGTCAATAACATTCTAAAATGAACTTTATTGTGTTGGTGCATAAGGCATTTGAGCCATTTTAGTCAAATTTAATATTTTTTTTCCTTAAAAAGCGTGAAGTCTTGTGTTATACGGTGATATTATATTACCTAAGGGTTGTTGTTCCATAAGAGTGGCTATTTAATAAGGATTCTGTAAATGTAATGAGTACAAATGCCTGCAATTCGAAAACTGCATTCACTTGTCAAGAGGCTATGTACAGTAGACCGTTTGCTGCTCTCAGTCAGCTAGACAAAACTGGTCCACATTATCATTTTTAATATTTCTAAATAACCCTACAGTCCACTTTCACTTATATTTTTTTCACTTGGGAAAGTTAATCAGTTTTCTGTTTTACTTGAAATAATAATTGGGTCATATAAATAAAAATATTTATTAATTATTTAAATGTTCAGCAATAAGATCATTGGCAACTTTACAGAGGGCCAGCGTTGTGCATGATACCTAATAATTCTTCTTAACTAATTTATTTCTAAATTACTGTAGATCACACTGAAAGCTTAATATTCTTTAGCCGTAAGTATTTTTGCACCCATTATTTAATGATTTATAATAGATGCTCTGTCAGATGCCTTTGATATAATTTAAGAAATTAGGTATTTATAAAAGCTTGGCAACCCTTATTTAGAGAAAGGCCTTATCCTACTTGATATTTGATTTGATAACTGATATATGTGGTGTTCTGCATGTCTCATCAGTGCAACCATGGTATGCCACTGACTTACAGTATTCTTACTCAATTGTGTCCTGATACAGTAATGAACATTACGCAAACACTGTCCACTACTATGTACAGTGTTCACACAATGTTAATTTACAGTAAAATTACACACTGTAATCACTGTTCACATCTTAAAACTACTTTAACACTGTTTTTTTAGTTGACTTTGCCCTGGTACAATCATGTACAGTAGTGCACAACACAAATTGTATGCCAAAACAACAGCGAGTGAGAGATCAAACTTGTAGAATGGCTGGTGACAATGAACTAAGCGTGTCCTGGTGCTAGCCTTGGGGTATGATGTGGGCTTAAGGGGGGTCACCTGGGAGATGCATCAACCTATCTCAGGCATCCCATGAGGTCACAGGACAGCATTAGCCAATCATACCGTGTGAGCTTATGGCCCAAGTGGTCTTCCCACCCACCCACCCACTTATCCAGAACTGAGGACCCAGGAGCCTGACACAATATTTTGTCACTTTCTGATCACTCTCATTCCCAGGCCTGGAAAAGAAAAGTTTTGCGAGATTTTCTCGGAACTTTCTCCTGTAGTTGTGCTTCTTGCTTCCACGGAATTTGTTCCAAGACCCAGAAAAAAGTATTTGGAGAGAGGTTCCAGATTTTTTCTCAAAATCTTCCAGAAAATGCTTAATGATTTTTAACCTCGGAAAATTGTTCCCTAACCCAGAATTGAGAGAAATTTTACAGAAAAAATTCAAATTTCAGTTCCAGCTATTGGAGAGTTCTGGCTAATGGAGATTCTGGCTAATGGGGATATTACTTTAGATACCTTTCTCAAGTTATCATATTCATAGGACATTGCAGACTATTTAACTTACTTTATTTTAAGAATACAAATGTTGCTTATCATATTCCTGATCTAGAATTTTGTGTTGAATGATTCCTATAATTTAGTTCCAAATTCCACAATTGATCTTGTTAAATTTTTAATGACTCACACATGCTTTCACTGTGATTAGATACAAATCAGTGCTGTACTTTACTATTGTATGTAAGTACAGCACAGTAAACTTAACAATCTTTATACTGCACTTAATATGCAGCACATCTTCATCCTGCTTCTGTGGATGTACTGTACAGTATTCCATGTAACAAATTCTGTTTTTGTTTTTCTACAATTCAGGGGTGAGGATGGTGCAGCTGGCTTGTAGATGTCTGAATATCCGTCTGCATGTGCAAGAGACAGCTGACGCACTAGTGCAGGGTGTACCAAACCTTACACCAGAAGAAGGCCAACACCCTTTCTTCTTAAAGGTTGGTAATGTTCTGTTTTTCTGCCTTTTACAGTGTCTTAGCAGCTACGCACACTCAGGCCATAGACAAGGTTATTCACAGTGCTGTACGGTATTATCCCTCTCGCCAGCCACTCGTCCGGTCCAAATCTCGCCCGTAAACTGGCCGATGATGCTACCTGCATCATCCAAAATGCATAGATTTTTAATTTAATTTATTTTTCATTTACCATTTACGGGTAAAATTTGGCGAATATTCCATCTATTTATTACGTAATAAAAGAACAAAATAGTTAAAGCACTACAGTATATACAATGATACAGTATATACAATGAAATGGGTGTGGAAAGATAATATCTTACATGCTGGATCCCCATGCCTTTGGTCTGGCCAGTGTGAGTGCTCAGGGTCAAGGGAGACATTTGCTCCCCACGGCCTGTGTAGTGACGCAAATAGTGTCATCGGCCAGTGAAAGGGTTAAATTTATAAGTTGAGCCCCACATAATTTCTCACATCAGCCCCGCGGTGTTGAGTTTTCCTATTCAAAGCTGCCTTTAATTCTTTATATACAGCTCCTCCCCGACTTACGACAGGGTTAGGGACCCAAATCCAGGATGTAAGTCGAAATGGTCGTAAGTCAAAAATGCTTAAATAATACCTAGAAAATCGAAAATGGGTGTCTCTTTTTCTTCTCAGCACCACAAAACTCTCACTTTTAAGCTTGCCAGCCATTTTAAAGTGAATTACAAATGAAAATTTTGTCTGTGTACTGATGTTGGGACTCGAAAATACGTAATTTGACAAAATTTTGGTACGACTGAGGCAGGTCGTAAGTCCGGGTGGTCGTAAGTCGAGTAGGTCGTAAGTCGGGGAGGAGCTGTATACATACAGGAACCATTATTCTAATGCAGTGATATCTCCGTTAGCCAGAACAATTGGTGCAGAACACTTCTGGGAATGAGAAATTTCCGGGTTACGAGATGACTTTCTCAAAGCCGGAAAAAATGCCTCATCCCCGGAATTTTCTGGATAATGGGAAAATTTCTTGGAAGTTCCAATAATTTCCCACTACATCATCTATCGAACCCGGAAAAATATCCCCCATCCCCGGAATTTTCTGGGTATCTGGAAAATTTTCTCAGAATTTTCCGAGAAAATTTCAATTCCGGCTGTTGGAAAGTTCTGGGTCAAGGGATAAAGGCTAAATTCTCAACTGTAATGACACACATTACATCTGCAGTGACATACATTAATGTAAATAAATGTAAGTGGGGCTTGTGGGACAGCTGCTTGCATCTTAACTGGCACAGCTTCCTTTAACCCACAAACTTATATGGTTAAACTAATCATTGTTTGGTTTTATGTCAAAAATTTTAAGAATGACTAAGCATAATCATGTTGTCTGTAAAAATGTCTGAACAGTGGTCCCTTGGTTAACAAACGCCTCAGTTAACAAAATTTCGGTTAACGAATTACTTTCCATAAGAATCTTCATTTCGGTTCACGAACAAAAATTATATTAACGAATTCCTTACGAAAATCACGTTTTGTTTTGAACATCAGCTGATCAGCTGAGGGGGTACTCAGCCAATTCAGTAATCTGTTCTATGTTTATATTCGTTTCCAATGGAGTAAATATCAATAAAGTTGTGCTTTATAATATTTATGCATGTTTTCTATTAAAATTATAAGTAATTTTTAACATTTATTTAACATATTGATAATATATGCAGTACAGGGAACTAGTTAGTTGAGCACCCATCAGATGTGTGGGTCAGTCACCAGGAGTCAGTCTGGCTTTGTTTACAATCGAGAGAGCAACTACAGTCATGCGCCAGTTAACGTCCGATCGCATATACGTCCGTGCCCCCCTAAAAAAATGGACCACCACTCCACGACCCCCTGACGGAGACACGATGATCCTCCCCATACTGGTCAGATATTATGTGTTAAAGGAATATGCTTCCTTCCTTTGGCTTTTTTTTAAGCATTTGCCTCCAGGTGTAATGTTAACGTACATCTATTGAGGATAAAATCTTTCACCCACAAATTGACAATAACACACTTGCTGTAATCAGACATATCTAGTTGCCTCAACAATTGCAAGCCCAGTTGCAATTGGGGTTGCAATTTCAAATTCTGTGGCATTACTAAGGAATATCGAAGTCTCTGGTGCACTGCCCTCTAAGATTAAGAGAAAACGGAGGACTCAGGCGTCCTGAAGTGAGAGAAAACGGACTCCTATGACGGGGCACTCAAATAAAGAGACATGGCTACATGTTTTGTGGACTACCCACTGTACAGTATTGATCGTACCCTTTTCATCACTTTGTAATAAACCTAGCCATGCCTATGTGTGTTTATGATATTTACCATAGCATTATATATACATTTAGTGGGTCTAAATGGTCGTAAAATGGGAAACTTGGGGTTGGGTGCCTGGAACCAATTAGAATAAATCCCATAGGTTTCTGTACTTTCGGACAACGTCCATATCGGTTAACATCTCGTTTCCAAGAATGTATCTAGGACGTTAACCGGCACATGACTGTACAGTGGTTTCTCGGTTAACGAACACAATTCGTTCCAGAAGGTCGTTCGTTAAACGAAAATTTTGTTAACCAAATCCATTGTTTCAATGGGATATTGGGTAATTGGTTCCAGCTCACCAAAAAGTACATAATAAAGTAAAAAAAAAATGCAGTAAAGTACACTTACTTTGAGGTGTGTATGTAGAAGGCTCTTGGTTGATGATGATGATGGGAATTAGAAGTGGGGGTGGAGGAGAAGGGAGAAGAGAAGGAAGTGGTATGGAGGAAAAATCACCTTCAGTGGACCCATGCTTGATGCCTCATTTCACCAATAAAATTTTAAGCTCACTAGGTATAATTCAAGATTATTTTCTTTAAATCAACACTGCACTGTGCTATATATTATCAATATGTTAACTAAAGTTCAGAATGACCAATAATTTCAATGAAAAATGCAAAAATATTCAAGACACCAACAAAATAGTTGCTCTCTCAACAGTAAACAAAGCCAGACTGACGCCTGGTGACTGACCCATGCATCTGATGGGTGCACAACTAACTAGTTCCCTTTGCTGCATACTGTATCTTATCAATATGTTAAATAAATGTTAAAATGACTAATAATTTTAATAAAAAACATTCAAAAATATTAAAAAGATGAAATTTATTGATATTTAATCCATTGAAAGCGAATTTAAACTTAGAACAGATTACTGAATTGGCAGACTGGGCCATAAACTCATTCGCACAACAACAAACTGGTATGTTAGTTCCCTCTACAGTACTGCATATATTTTCAATATTTAATGTTAAAATGACAATAATTTTAATATAAAACATTCAAAAATATTAAAAAGCTCAACTTAAATGTTATTTAATCCATTGGAAACAAATTTAAACTTAGAACAGATTACTGAATTGGCAGACTGGGCCTTCAGCTGACCAGCTGAAGCTCACAACAAAACTTGATTTTCGTAAGGATTTCGTTAATCAAATTTTTGTTCGTTAACCGAATTGAAGATTCTTATGGAAGGTAATTCGTTAACTGAAATTTCATTAGCCGAGGCGTTCGTTAACCGAGGGACCATTGTGTGTGTGTGTGTCCGCAGTCGGCCCTTCACATATGCGGGTTTAGCATACACGGATTTGCAAATACGCGGATTGCCCCGCCGGAGGAATATTCTGTACATTGAAGTACAGTAATTGAAGTACATTCAAATCGCGCCCGCCACCCCACACCGCCCGCCACCCCACACCGCCCGCGTCACCCCACCCCGCGCTCCCGCACTCAGTCAGTCTCGTTGTAACCACGCTTGTGTTGACATCAGCATTGTAGGTCGACCCTGATTTTTTGACCAAAAAATTGTTAATTTATGATATTCCTCATTTATAGGTCGACCCAAGATTTGAGGGTAATGGAACCAAAACCTTCAGTAAAAACGCTCTACGTCCTATAAACTGAGGCTCACCGTGCCTGAAACACGAGTGCCGAAGGCAAATTGTTTACCATTTATTATTATGACACTTTACACTAAAATGCGGGTAGTTTCAACAAAAATATTGTATATTTCCATTCAAGTATTTTTCAAGAGGGAGGGACGGAGCCAGCCAGCCAGCGAGGGGTGGGGGGAGGTGATATGTTTGACAGTTTGAGCCGAAGGTCTCTGTGTGTTTATTTAACAGTCCTACTACGCTTTTCCCATTTTAAAATGCCAGTGAAATGACCTGGGAGAATATAATTAACATTGCTGGGATTCTTGTAAGACACTGATTAATTTGAATAGCAACATGCTCTAATTTGCACTAGACATAACAATTTTAGTACCGTACAGTGGTCCCTCGGTTAACGAGCACAATCCATTCTAGAAGGTTGCTCGTTAACCGAAAAACTCGTTAACCGAAACTATTGTTTCAAGGGGTTTTTTGGTAATTGGTTCCAGCTCACCGAAAATTGCCTAAATTCAACAAAAAGGGTAGAAAAATACACTTACTTTGAGGTGTGTATGTAGAAGGCTCCTGGATGATGATGATGATGATGGGAATTAGAATGGGGGTGGAGGAGAAGGGAGAAGAGAAGGCATTGGGGTGGAAGAGAAGTCACCCCATGGCGCCATTTCACCCATAAAATTTTAGTTCACTTGGTGTAATTCAAGATTATTTTCTTTAAATCAACACTGCACTGCATTAAATATTGTCAATATGTAAAATAAATTTCAAAATGACCAATAATTTGCTTGGAAACAGAAAAAAAAGCGTTTAGTTGAAGAGAGTCTCAAGCAAGATGTTACCTCCACTGAAAACAGAGAGAGACTAACGCCTGTCTGGTGTGTTAACAGGCTGGATGGCATGCCAGAAACTAGTTTCTTTACCTTCAATTATGTTCAATAATTGTTAAAATGACTAAAAAAGTTAATATTAAACTTTTAAAATTTTTGAATAGTATAAACTTCTTGATATTTACTAAAATAGTAAGGAATTTAAGCCCTAAAACCGATTACTGTATTGCCGGACTAATACTACAGCTGGTGGACCGCCAAATGCAAGCGAAAACATGTTGAAGTCGGCTCATAAGAAACTCGTTAATCGAGGAATTGCTCGTTAACCGAAGTTAAGAATCTTATGGAAGGTAACTCGTTAACCGAAATCTCGTTAACCTAGGCGCTCGTTAACCGAGGACCACTGTAATGAAATTGGTACATGTACACTCCAGCTTTGCACTAAGGTCATTTATTTCTTTTAGTACGGTGTGTGCATGTAAATGGTTGAAAATAAATGAAGAAATTTATGTTAATCTACCCAAAAATACAGTTGAAAACTCTATACTGTATTATAAAATGTACTACAGTATTGTACACTAATGTACTACATTTTTATATCTTGGGCAAAATATATGATGTTTATATTCAAATTATTGGCTGTCTTGCAAGGATTCCAGCAATGCAAATTATAATCTCCTAACTTTAGTCTGAGATATTATATAAGATAAACACCTTAAAGAATAAAGTTATCACCAATCTTTTGTCTGGGAACACAAGGAGGCAGGTAGCCAGCGAGCATGGGGGGCGGGAGGTGAGGTGACAGAGTGTGGTGTTTGTTTATTTATTTGAGATAAGATTTGACAGTTGGCGTTGAAGGCCTGTGTGTTTATTTATCATTACTTAAGAGTGAATAAGCTCTTCTCATTATTTGCCACCCAAACGACCTGGGTGAATATAACTTACATTGCTGGGATTCTTGTAAGATAGTGATTTATTTGAATACCTGTATAAACAATCTATATTTGCAATAGGCATAACAATTTTAGTACCGTAATCATTTAGTACATGTACAGTACAGGTTTGTTCCACGGTAAAATTTTTTGAACAACGAAAGAAAGCGAAAGTCATTGTTTTCGTCATGATTTTATCCCACTTTCCACTGTAATACGTACGTCATTTCAGCAAAAATATTACATTTCCATATTTATTTCTGAGAATATATTCATTCAGTCACAGTTAAGGTAAAATATACTTGTGATGTAATATTTTAATGAAAATACCTGGTATTTAGAAATACGGTATCGTAGTTTTCTTTTGTTTCAAATTTAATTAACAAAGATTGATGCTTCAAATGTAATGAAAAAAATTTATTTCCAGTATCTATAAATAAACTTTAAAAAATGAATACTTTATGTTTTACATCATCCTGTGTTACCATACCATGCATTTGGCTACTTTGGCCTTGCTATGATGACGCAAGAGATCTGCCCTGGCAACTGTACCGACACTCACAGCTGGTGGTGCGTCGTTTCCATTGTTTACTGGTAGTTACTAGTAAATATTTTTCAACCTAGCGAAACTATTACCCGTTTAGAGGTCGACCCCCAATTTTTTGCCAAATAATGTGGTCTTAAAAACTCGAACTACACACAGGTATATACGGTAAATAAGGACATGGGGGGGGCCAGGGTTTTTTTAGGGGGTGGGGGGCAGCAAAAGTACACGGATTTTTAACATTCACGGGTATCTCTGTTACCTAACCCCCGCGTATCCGTGAGGATTAGGTTTTCAAAATGGCTGCGAATTGCCAAATCCAAGAATAACGTTTGCGGACCGGGGTGGGGTAGGGGTACATTTTAACTCATGTACAAAGAAATATATATTCTCTTAGGAAAGAAATATATATTCTCTTAGTACAATTATTTCTTTTACCTGTATTGTATATATGAACACATACAAATAGATAATGCTGTAATGGGAAAATCATCTCTCAAATAATCATAAACAAATTTATTAAAAATGTGATGTCTACCTTCAAGCTCGTGCTTTAAAGTTATAAGGCATTTTCCAATTATTATTTATATGTATGTGTTTTGCTCAGTGCCGGATTTAGACCTGTGGAGGCCCATGGGCAGCCTCTTTGTGGAGGCCCCCTCATTATAACTACCCAAGAGGGAGGGGTGGCGAGTGAAGTGAGCCTAAACATCTGGGAGTTCCGGGGGGCGCTGTAAGCCCCCCGGGAAAATTTTGAAATTTGAACACTTCTTTGGAGAATTTTGAAACCATATGCAATTATATTGAAGAAATTAGAACATTGTGAAATTTTTAATTAACTGTATATTTATTGATAGTGTACAAATTCCCAACACACACACACAAAAGTGAGACATGACTGGAGTCATTCATGTGGTTTCAAGTCGACCAGCCCTGATATGTGGAGGCCCCCAGATTGTGGAGGCCCCTGGGCAACTGCCCACTTTGCCCTCTCCTGAATCCGGCCCTGGTTTTGCGTGTGTGTGTCTACACACACACACATATAACAATACAGGTAAAGGAAATTACTGTCTCTAGAATGAATGGCTCCCTGTCCCGAAGAAATGCTGGCAACTTTAAAACTACCCACAGACATTCTTGGGTACATCCAGGGTGTCATCCGCAAACTTGGGGGGCTCCTGTATAAAATTTGACAGAGACAAAATCCTGAGTCCTCTTTCTTAATTCCCTATGTGTATATCAGTAACAATGACAGATCTATCAATATTAAGAGAGTAAACTTTTTTATGTGCCTATTTTGTCTTGCCTCAAGTGCTATCTCTTAGTAGTAATTACCAAACCTTGGCTTTTATAAAAACAATGTCTAACTGCCCAAAAGAAATGTTTGACTCCTTTCAGTAACTGCCGTTCTTATTTATCAACTTTATTTTTTCCTTCTTTAGGGTGCATTCTTGGTTACCTTGAGCTTAGGTGGCATAACAGAGGGACAGAAGTTCTTAATAAGCAGCTCCCGTGTTGGTGGCTGGACCATCAAAGAGTGTCTCAACTGCCATCTGTTAACACATGCCACTCAGGGTGTCAGTGGACCAGTTGCTGCCAGTACCTCATTAATAGTAAGTGTGTGTGTTAAGGTGAGGGACATTTATTGTTCTTAGCCCTTTATAGATCCTTTTCCATTTCCACTTCTAGAGAATATTACGATGGCTCCTTGTCTTCCTCCTGTTCAGATATGTTCCCTAGTGCTGCCCCGGTTCCTTGTCTTCCTCCTGTTCAGATATGTTCCCTAGTGCTGCCCCGTGGGCAGCTCTAAGTCGGATGCAGGGTGGGTTTTGGGGTAGTCTTTCCCAAATTCTGTCAGGATGGTAGTCTTCCCACTATGGCATCTAATTTTATGGCAGAACTTTTAGGTATTTTACTTGCCGTCAAGATTATTTTTACCCAACCTCAGCGATTTTCGTAGTGCTCTTCAGGCCTTAGCTAGTGTTTCATTGCTACATCCCTAAGTTTTATATATTTTACAGTGGCTCTCATCCAAGGTCGGGGCCGCAAAGTCAGGTTTTGCTAGGTTCCGGTCCATGTGGGGGAGAAGGGGAATGAGTGTGCATTTCATTCCCCTCTACCTGCTGCTGATATGAAGCCAGTAATAAGAGCTGCCATCTACTCGAGTTGGCAGTGCAGATGGAATGCTGTCGGGGCAAACAAGCTCCTCTACATCTACCCTGCATTGGGTGCCTGGAGATATCAGGGACTGTTGCGCCGCCAGGAGGCTGCTTTGGCCTGCCTCTGTAAAGACCACACATGGCTGACTCATGATTTTTTTAATGGAGAGGGTCCCTCTCCATTGTGATGACTGCCTGGTCCCATTTACTATTCGAGGGGGGGGGTCTTACTGTCTCTCTTTGGTGCTTGTGGGGGAGTGGGTAGTGTGGGAGAGAATGTCCTCTCCTTCGTGGAGGACGCTGGCCTTCTACACAAACTTTGAGTTTTTCTATTAACGTTTAAATGGTTTTTAAGAAAGTTCTATATTATTTTTACTTTTTTTTCTTACATTATTTTATTTTAGTCTTTTAAGCGTATATTTAATTCGGCAGCATATGACCAACCGGTAAACTATTGCATCGCTAAGGATGTAAATACCACAATCAATCAATTGTGATGTTATAATTGTACAGTACAAATACAGGTAATTATACTGTAAATGGAAATGCCGTGAGGGCAGGAAGGAACAATAAAATTGAACGTTGATGCTAGACAGGAAGCTGCTATTTTGTGGTCTCCTAGCTCATCCCAGTGTGGCAGAGTATTTTTTAATTGATCATTCTTTGTCACTGCAGACATTGTGTACACAATTCAGGGCCCAGAAGCACCTGGTTGTGGCAATACTTGATCATAGAAGCACCTGTAGACTTTGTGATGTTCATGTGCTCCTTTATTTTGGCTGCATCCTTCTTAATTGTCCGGATCGTAGATTCGTTAACACCATGCTGGCGCGCCAAATCAACCTGTCTTGTTCCTTTCTCCAACTCTCAGATGATCTTGTATTTAATTTTGTAGCTTAGGGAACGTTGTATCTTCTTTGGTTTAGGGCGGCTGGGTCCAGGTAATGCAAAGTTTCTTTGTGGTGGTCCGGTGGAAGCCATTCTTATGGAACAATAGATACCGATATACACGGTGTAGCCTGAAGGGGTGTAACTGGCGCGGGTAGGTCAAGGGGCTTGAATGCTCCCGCGGTGGGGCACTTCATAGTACATTAAACCAATCACGGCTAGCGGGGGAGGGAGGTAAGGATGCTTGGCCCAATCACAGTCCGATACGTCATATGACGTCACCGATAACGCAACAAAGACATACACTGCGCAACCTACTCGCGCCGCTTACCCAACATGGCGGGAGATGGCGGGAGGTTTAAATCCAAAAATGGCGCTGCGGGAGAGGACCGCCAGCCGCTCTCTGCGTAAAAGAGTACACGCACCGCGTAAAGTGAGCATTCCATGTTCGGCAGGGTACCGCGTAAATGGTATTTGTTATTTCTATTATTGTCAAAGTGTAAGTTTTACTGTTTCCAGTTTACATATACTGTACAAGTGATATCCCCGTTACCTAGTTATCTTGCACAGATGGACACTAGCCCTCTTCCTCAGAACATTTCTGGGTGCTGGGGATGTTTTCCTCGAGTCTAAGCTACCGGAATCCATAAATGCAGTTCTTATTAAGTTAGAAACTCCATTGCTTTACTATAATAATCCAAAATAGTTTATCTAAAAGTTTGCTTAAATAAATATATTTGAAAATTTAAAATCTATAAGATATGGGCATGAATGAAGCTGTGTGTTACAGCAAAGACTGGTATTTTTGACTCCCATGGAGCTGTGGGGGATTAGTGGGTCTGACCTGACCTGTAACTGACCTGACCTGATGCAATGCCAGGTGGAGGTAGGGTGGGGGATTAGTGGTCTCATATTTTGACCTTGTGATGGAATGTCAGGTCACCCTTTCTTGGGTGGGGGATTAGTGGGTCTCATGACCTGAAGATGTCTTGAATAAACACGAATCCTAAAATATTTTTAGGGATTTCAGTATAAGTATAAATGGGGAAAGTTGTATCCCTTCAACATTACATTACATAACATTTTAAAATATGGAGTGAGAAAGCAGAAAGGTGTGGGTAATTAGAGAGATGGAGTGGAAAGTAGTGTTGCCAAGCGCTCCTCAACAGCTGATATTTAACTCGCAGTCACACACACACGCAGATGTATCATACAATAAGACCTTCACTCCTTATGCTTGCTGTCTTAATTCCCTTGTGTTATTTTTTATTAATTTTTTTGTGTGTGGGTGTGTGCACGCTTGATGTTGGGGTGTGTGTGTTGTGGAGTGAGAGTGGTGTTGGAGGGTGTGTGTGGGTGGTGTTGGAGGGTGTGTGTGGGTGGTGTTGGAGGGTGTGTGTGGGTGGTGTTGGAGGGTGTGTGTGGGTGGTGTTGGAGGGTGTGTGTGGGTGGTGTTGGAGGGTGTGTGTGGGTGGTGTTGGAGGGTGTGTGTGTGGTGTTGGAGGGTGTGTGTGGGTGGTGTTGGAGGGTGTGTGTGGGTGGTGTTGGAGGGTGTGTGTGGGTGGTGTTGGAGGGTGTGTGTGGGTGGTGTTGGAGGGGTGTGTGTGGGTGGTGTTGGAGGGTGTGTGTGGGTGGTGTTGGAGGGTGTGTGTGGGTGGTGTTGGAGGGTGTGTGTGGGTGGTGTTGGAGGGTGTGTGTGGGTGGTGTTGGAGGTGTGTGTGAGTGGTGTTGTGTGTGTGGGTGGTGTTGGAGGGTGTGTGTGGGTGGTGTTCGAGGGTGTGTGTGGATGGTGTTGGAGGGTGTGTGTGGGTGGTGTTGGAGGGTGTGTTTGGGTGGTGTTAGAGGGTGTGTTTGGGTGGTGTTGGAGGGTGTGGTGGGTGGTGTTGGAGGGTGTGTGTGGGTGGTGTTGGAGGGTGTATGGGTGGTGTTGGAGGGTGTGTGTGGGTGGTGTTGGAGGGTGTGTGTGGGTGATGTTGGAAGTTGTATGTGGGTGGTGTTGGAAGTTGTATATGATTTGATTTTGATTTTGCCACTTACAGCGGCTACTTTATTGTGCACCCCACACTCATCCTGTGAGCGGTAGCGCAAAAGGATTACAGAGTAGAGTTTACAAAGGGTCATAATAATTAACCCCCGTTGTCAGGATATTATGGCACTGAATGTTACACAGTATTTCATTTACATTATTTGTTTAGTTCTATACATAAAGGGTAACTTATTCACAATTGCGTGAGTACAGGCGTGTGAGGCAGTATGTCTGGCCTCACACTTTGTTATTCACATTTACGTGAGAGGTATTCAAGCACATTGCGTATTTGGTTCTGTACATGAGAATTGATATAGTTACTAAGTGCAAAAAAGTGGATACAATCTTAATATGTCGGCTATCTTGCCATTAGAGATGAAGTGTTGTACCATTTCACACACAGTGTGCTTGGACCTGTCCCTAAAAGGTTCTATCTTCACACAGTCGAGGACGTAGTGTTCAAGTGTGTGGCCATATGTATGGCCACACACTTTACATTTAGTTTTGTTTACATCTGATTGAGGAACATACTGCCAAAGGTACTTATATCCTAACCTTAATCTAGCGGTTACAACGTCTTGTAATCTAGTGATTTTGTTACTTGCTCCATATACATGTTTCACTTGATACATCTCATCATGGTAACCTATGGATCGACTAGTGCCTGTTTGCACTTGTCTACTTGCGTCAAACTCATCAATAAGTTCTTTCTTAATTACAGTTTTAAGGGTTCTTTTTGACAGGCCCAAATTGTATTCAACGGTGTCTTTGTTAGACGCGAGTTTGGCGAGGGCATCAACTCTGTCATGTTTTATGAGGCCTATGTGAGAGGGGATCCACAACAGTTTGACCTTGACACCCCGGTCAACAAGGCACGCATATTTGTGTCTGGCTTCAGAGACAAGAGCGTGAAAACCTGAGTCGAGGGTGCCAAGGGCAAGTAGTGAGGATAGAGAGTCAGTGATGATGAGACTGTCAGTATCAGTGGTTTCAATGAATTTAATAGCTGTGAGTATGGCAACTAATTCAGTTTGTAGAGTGGATGCCCAGTTGTTAATTCTAACTCCTTTCTCAATTATATTACCGTCAGGTTGAGTCACAACAATAGCACTTCCAGCCCTCCCACAGGCGGTGTTAAGAGATCCATCAGTGTAGATGGTCTGTGTGATATTATCATCAGTCTGTAGAGTGTGTATGTGTTCAAGAGCTCTCAATTTGGCAGTGTGTTGGAGATAAATGCTTTGTATAATTAATTTTTTAGGCGGATACGTCGGTATTGTGATATCGAAGGGAACTGTCCGCCAGGGTGGCAGGAAGCGCTGTTGTGTCTCAACTTTGTACAGGTGGTCTAGTCCAAACATCTTCATATGTGTAGCTGTAGTTTGGATCCATTTAGACTCAGTAGTCCCATGGTTCATACATTCTAGCAATTTTAAGGAAACAATGTTATCAGGATCACCACGCAGAAGCCTCAGGGCTATCATGAGGTTGACTTCAATTATTCTATCTTTAACACTGGGTATACCTAGTTCTTTCCTCA